CCTCCCCGCCCGCCTCCCCGCAGTGCTTCTGGACGCCCCCGTGGACCTGCGGGTCCGCAGGGCGGAGGAGGGCAGCCACGTGGTGCTGCGCTGGCTCCCGCCTCCGGAGGCACCGATGACCACCCACATTCGCTACGAGGTGGACGTCTCCGCGGGCAGCAGCGCAGGGGGCGCGCAGAGGGTGAGCCCCAATAACTGCCGCCCCCAAGTTCCCCCCGCCAGACCCCAATGCCCCGCATCCCGCCTCCACGATGCCCAAGACGCCTCCATGACCACTAACATGCCAATCCCCAATCCTACAGAACCCGACCCTGCTACCCCCTCCTCAAACTCCAGGATGCTCAGGAGTTTCTTCCCCCCCCCAGCCCTTGGTATACCCCCTGGAGTTCTGGCCTTGGCTCTAAAGCTCTCTGCTGATTGGCTATAGTTCCACATAAGGCCCTGCTCCCTGCTCTCATTGGTTTAAACGCAATGCTTGGGGCGGAGCTGTCCTTCCTCTCCCTGATTGGCTACATCCCGTCAGTGTTCCTCTGTCCCACACCAGCATGGCCCCGCCCCTCCTATGGCCCCGCCCACAATGATACACCCTCCCAGAACCCATCCCTCGAGAGGCCACGCCCCACACGAGGCCACGCCCTCGCCACCCTTGAGTTGCCTTGCCCCCTCCTGACATGGGTGAGAGGGAGCTCCCAAAGCCCCTCCCCGCCAGGCCACGCCCCACACGAGGCCACGCCCTCGCCACCCTCTTGTTGCCATTCCCCCTCGTGAGGCCGCGCCCTCCCCCATAGACCACGCCCCCTCACGCGGCCACGCCCCCAGGTGGAGATCCTGGAAGGCCGCACCGAGTGCGTGCTGAGCAACCTGCGTGGCGCCACTCGCTACACCTTCGCGGTCCGCGCGCGCATGGCGGAGCCCAGCTTCAGCGGCTTCTGGAGCGCCTGGTCGGAGCCCGCGTCTCTGCTGACGGCTAGCGGTGAGACCCCAGGGAGGAGCTGGACGGGCGGGGAGGAGGGAGACCCCTGCGAAGCCTCCACCCTGACCCCGCGCTGTCACTCAGACCTGGACCCCCTCATCCTGACCCTGTCCGTCATCCTCGTGCTCATCCTGGCGCTGCTGGCCGTGCTCGCCCTGCTGTCCCACCGCCGGTGAGCGCCCCCGCCTGGGTTCCTCCAGGGCCTGCAGGTTTGCTCTGCAGGTGCTCTACCACCTGAGCCACGCCTCCAGCCCTTGTTTTTTTTGCTGTAGTTATTTTTCAGGAAGGGTCTGCACCTTTTTGCGTAGAGCTCACCTCAGACCTCAGTCCTCCTACCTCAGCCTCCCACAGTGGCGCTGGGATTAATGGGGTGCGCCATCGTGCCCGGCTTGGAAAGATTTAAATCTCCAAATGGCTCTTCCTGTCAAGCTCCTCAGATGCTCCTAGGATCTGCCCAGACATCCTGTGGGATTTGAGAGTGCAGGCCCATACCAGGCTTTTCAGATTCCCAAGCCTTTGGAATATACTGTTCCTTCTGCCAAGAACACCCTTCCTATCTGGTCAACCAAGTCATGGGCTAATTGTTTTTCCTGACCTTGAAGGAAAATATATATACACATATATATGCATATATATATATATGTGTGTGTATATATACATATATATAGAGAGAGAGAGAGAGAGAGAAAGAAGCATCAACTATGTCCCAGGCATCTAAGAGAGAGTGGACCACAAGTCCTTGTGGGTCACATAGTCAAGGAGATGAACAGATATGTAGACACATGATACGTGGCTGTAAGTGTGATCAGTGGAGTTGGCCAGTGGCTCACACCTGTCATCCTAGCTACTCAGGAGGCTGAGATCTGGGGATCATGGTTCAAAGCCAGCCCAGGCAGGAAAGTCCAACTAACCATCAGAACTGGAAGTGGTGCTGTGGCTCAGGTGATAGAGTGCTTTCCTTGAGCTGAAGAGCTTAAGGAAGGACAGTGCCCAGGCCTAAGTTCAAGCCCCATGACCCATCAAAAAAAAAAAAAAAGTGTGATCAATGGTGAGTGTAGAAACAAATGGCATAGGGACCTGATACAGTAACCAAGGCACTACAGTGGCAACCAGAAGCAACTGCATGGAAAGTGGGGAAAAGGAGCAGCAAGTGTAAAGGCCCTGGGGTGGGAGTGAACTTGGGGCACTGAAGCAGCTACAAGAGGTATAGGGCTGGAGCGGGGTGTGTGTGTGTGGTGGTGGTGGTGGGGGTGAACAATGTCAGGAAAATGACAGGAGTCAATCACCCAGGAATTTCTGCAAGGTTATAGTTTTAGTTTTTCTGCTTTGGCTCAGGGGATTTGAACTCAGAGCACCAAGAGTGCCAAATTTAATATACCCTCCTACTGAGCTACCTCCTCAGCCTTGAATTTAATGCTAAATGGACTTGGGGGAGCAGGAAAACCACAGAAAGGCCTGATGAACTGACCTAAGGGATCTTCAGGTAAAGCCAGGGCCAAAATTAGAGCATGAGTTAATATATAATGGAACTCTTATTCATCCTTCAAAACTCAATTCCAGTTGCCTTTTCGTAGGGCGATGCTGGTGCTTCAGACAAAACCCTTGTTCCCCAGAAGCTTTAGTGACTTTGTGCATACTGGCATATGTTCAGTAACATGTTCGAGAACCATTTGTGTATATGTGTGGGTGTGCCAGCAAAAGAAAAAGGCTAGGGGGTGTGGCCCAGGTGGTAGAGCACCTGCCTTGCAACCCAGAGGCCTTGTGCTCTCACTTGGCTTTGACTGTGCTGCCACTTGGGCCACAGCTTCACTTTGGGCTTGTGCTGGTGACGTGGAGGTGTAAGTCTCAGGGACTTTCCTGCTTGGGGTAGCTTTGAACCAGGATCCTCATATCTCAGCCTCCTGAACAGCTAGGATTATAGTCCTGTGCCTGGCTTGGGGAGGGGTGGGGCTGTGTGTGTGTGTGTGTGTGTGTGTGTGTGTGCAGTACTGCTTGGGAAGCAGGTACTTTCCCCTGTGAGCCACACCCGCACCCCCCCACCCCCCAACCTGTACCTATCAACTCCAACAGGTCTTTGAAGCAGAAGATCTGGCCTGGGATCCCCAGCCCGGAGAGCGAGTTCGAGGGTCTCTTCACCACCCACAAGGGTAACTTCCAGGTAAGTGGCAGTGCCATCCCCTCTGGGGCTGGGGCTGTCCTGCAGCTGGCCAGTTGAAGGCCAGGCCACGGAGCAGACTGGTGCTGTGTTTTCCAGCTGTGGCTGTCGCAACACGATGACTGTCTATGGTGGAACCCCTGCACCCCCTTCACAGAGGACCCCCCTGTCCACCTGGAGGTCCTCTCTGAGCGCTGCTGGGAGCTGACCCAGCCTGGGGAGCCAGGGGCAGCTGACGAGCGCCCCCTGCTGGAGCCAGCGGACATTGAGCATGCCCAGGACACGTACCTGGTGCTAGACAAGTGGTTGGTACCCAGAAGCCCTTGCAGCGAGCCCCTCCCAGGCCCGGGAGACAGCATGGATGTCCAGGCTGTGGATGAAGGCTCAGGAGCCTCCTCTTGCTTGTCTGACTTGGCCTCGAAGCCCAGGCTGGCTTCCAGCTTCGAGTACACCATCCTGGACCCTAGCTCCCAGCTCTTGCGCCCGAAGACACCCAGGCCTGCGCTGCCCCCCACCCCGCCCCACCTAAAATACCTGTACGTCGTGGTGTCCGACTCAGGAATCTCCACCGATTACAGTTCGGGGAGCTCCCAGGGAGCCCACGGGGACTCACCCGACAGCCCCTACTGTCACCCATACGAGAACAGCCTCATCCCTGCTCCCGAGCCCCCGCACCCCAGCTACGTGGCGTGCTCTTAGGACTCCAGCCAGCCAGCCAATGTGGCCCCAGGGCCAGTCCAGCCAGGGACTGGAGCCATCTTTCACTGCCGCCCTTGGCTGTGTGTCCAGCCCATCCTGCTCAGATAGGCACACCCCTGCAGTGTTGGAGAAGATGTACAGTTTCCTTCCACTGTACATACACATGTAAATATATATGTACACATATACGTGCATGTGTGTGTGTCCTCCACCATGACGTTTACGTACACACACTCTAAGTTCCTGGAGCTCAGTCTGCAATTTAGCAGCTGGCTGTCTCTCTCTGAAGACTAATCATACGTACCAAAGTAGTATAAGCTATGCTAGCTGCATTAACGAGCAAGTCTTCAGTCTCAGCAGTTGAGCCCATTAAGTAGTTTCCTATCCCTGCACAAACACATGTGCAGCATCGTCAGGGAGGTCCAAGGCCTTAACTCTTCTGGTCACTTTCTATCATCTTGGGATCTTTAGATGAACTCTCCACATCCTGCTAGCCAATCAGTGAAGAGAAGAAAAGATACCGTGAGCCATTTTAGGGATCTGGCCTGAAAACTGAACTGTGGGATGCTGGGAAATGTAGTTTAGTTAGAATCCCTGGTGAAAGGAAAGTTGGTCAAAACAGAACAGTGGCATGCTGGGAAATGTAGTTTAGTTACGGATTCTGGTTAAAGGAAGGTGGTTCAGCCAGCCTTGAACTGTTCTCTGCCACTAAGACCAATGACAGTGACCTGTAGGGCTTCATTCTGAATCAGGCCATGTTTTAAGAAATTATGATGACACCAAGTGCCACCACATGACTGCCTCTGTGCCAGTTCTGCATTAAGCACTTTTCAAGTTTGGCTAAGAAAGCTGACACAGATATATCTTATGCTTCAGCAATTTGTCTGCAAAAAAACAAAACAAAACCCATAAACATACTCAGACACATAAGCAAGAATGTTCAGAGAAGAAAATAAGTCCATGTGCTCAATAAATTGGGTATAAGACCACAGAATAATGTGCAACTAAGAAAAACGAATAGACTGGAGAATGTGATTGAATCTTCATAATAAGGTTTAGTGGCAACAAAGCAAGCCCTGGAAAATTATATGTATCATGAAACTACATAGCTCAAAACAGCAAAATTATCATTAAAACAATGTTGACTGATATGTACATAATAATGCTAGGTGATTTAATATTTTTTAAACCTAACACTGCTGAGGAATGGAACCCAAGGCCTTTGCTCTACCACTGAGCTACATCCTTAACCTCTATAAGGCTAGTCTGTTGATTCTTGTTTTTGTTTCTTTTTGTGCTGGTCCTGGGGCTCGAACTCAGAATCTAGGCACTGTCCTTGAGATTTTTTTTGCTCAAGGTGAGCGCTCTACCACCTGATCCACAGTGCCACTTCCAGTTTTCTGGTGCTTCATTGGAGATAAAGAGTCTTACAAACTTCCCTGCCTGGGGCTGGCTTTGAACTGTGACCCTCAGATCTCAGCCTCCTGACTTGCTAGGATTACAGACGTGAGCCACCAGCACCTGGCTTTTAATGCTAGTTTTGAAAGAGAAAATGTTCTTTCCATTCCTTCAGTTTTTGATCTTTTTTTTGGGGGGTGGGAGTCCGGTTGTGGGGCCTGAATTCTGGGATTGGGCCCTGTCCCTCAGCTCTTCAGCTCAAGGCTAGCACTCTACCACTTGAGCCACAGTGCCACTTCTGGCTTTTTTCTTTCTGCTTATGTGGTGCTGAGGAATCGAACCCAGGGCCTCATGCATGCAAGGCAAGTGCTCTACCACTGAGCCACCTTCCCATCCCCTGGTCTTTGGATCTTCATATGACCCAGAAGTTAAGTATTCCAGCCATGGTCCACAGAGACACAGCAAAGCTCAAGGCTTGCCTCGGACACTTGAACTCTGGTCTGAGCTGGGGTTATTCGCTTGGATGGACTATGGGGGTGATCCTCATCTCTCCCTGTGGCTGAAAAGCCACCCACCACTCTGTCCTGGGGCTCAGCCCACCCAGCTCCAGGCAGACTCGCAGACGGTGCTCTCCTGGGCCAGACGCCCCTGGTTGCAGCCAGCACTGAGCAGGGAAGTAGCGCCGGAGCATTGCCACCTGCAGGCCGTCTCTGCTGTCTGCTTCCTCCTGGGTCTGCAGGGCCACGACGAGCCCGCAGCCCTGACCCGTGCCCAGCCTGCGGCTGAAGTGGGCAGCGGTATCCAAGAGAAGAGCAGTTAGATAGGTGGCTTCCTGCGAACCCAGGTCATTCAGCAGATACTCCTCCAGGCCGTCCAGCAGTAGGAGGGAGGGCGCAGGCCCTGGGATCTCATGGGCGGAGCACAGGAGGTGCAGAAGCTCTCGGGTGGAGGGTGGGTACTGGAAGCGAATTTTCTAGAAGATGGGAAAAGGAGGAAAAGGCCAATTCAGCACAGGAAGCCAGATGCTAGGTCAGAGCACTAAATATATATATATTTTTTGGTCGGTCGTGGGTCTTGAACTCGGCCTGGGCGCTGTCCCTCAGCTCTTCAGCTCAAGGCTAGCGCTCTACCACTTGAGCCACAGTGCCACTTCCGGTTTTCTGGTGGTTTATTGGAGATAGGAGTCTCACGGTCTCTCCTGCCCGGGCTGGCTTTGAACCGCGACCCTCAGATCTCAGCCTCCTGAGTAGCTAGGATGACAGGCGTGAGCCACCAGCGCCCGGCGCACTAAATATTTTTCCCAGTCACTTTGGCTCTTTCATTGCTGTGTAATTGTTCAGGATAACTCTATTATTATTGTTGTTGTTGTTGTTATTTGGTGTGCCAGTCCTGGGCTTGAGCTCAGGGAAATGGACACTGTCCCTGAGCTGCTTTTGCTTCTAGCGCTGTACCACTTGAGCCACAGCATCACTTCCAGTGTATGTGGTGCTGAAGAATCGAACCCACAGCTTCATGCATGCTAGCTAGGCAAGAACTCTACCACTAGGCCACATTCTCAGCCCCACCCTCTTTTTAAAAAATTTTTAGTTTATATGGTATTGGGGAATCGAACCCAGAGCTTCAGGCATGCTAGGCAAGCACTGCACTCTACCACTAAGCCACACGCCCAGCCCTCGCCGCCCTCTTATTGGATACCACTTCAATCAATCTCAACTAGGTCCCGCCTTCCACTCATTCCGACTCCACCCCTATTATGGCTGCTCCAGGTCACCCACCAACTATCTCTAGCTATTGGCTTGCGTACTTGTCACTCAATCCTTCACCGCCCCATCATAGGCTAGCATAGCACAGGCCCCGCCTCCCCCGTTACCTGGAGCCGCAAAGGGTCGAGAGCGGTTCTCGTACCCACGGGCAGGCTTTGAAGAGGACGCCTGGTCAAGAAGAGCACGGGGCCTCGGCCTTCTCCGGCTACCTCCAGGGCCGTTGCAAATAGCAGGGCTGTTTTCCCAGAGCCTGAAGCACCAAGCAGCAGCAGAGGCGGCCCTGCCTCCGCCGCGCTCTCCTCCCTGTTCCCAGCCGCGCTGCACCGGGCTAGCACTCGCCTCAACGTCTCCGCCATTCGCGACGTAACTTCTGTCCAATCAAAGGCGCAGCCCTAGCTTTAATCCCGCCCTGTAAGAGGCCTCATTGGTTACGGTGCGTCTAGCTTGTCTATTGGTACACAGAGCTGTCCATCAGAGCTCGCTCTTGCTAGCTCCTCCCCCCTTGAACGAGCGAATCGTCTAGCCTGAGCGTGAAGTAATGGGGGTGTTGGTGGGGAGGGAAAACCTTCCTCTGAGGGGATCTCTGGGAGCGAGGTGGAGGGGAAGCAGCTTGAATACTATTATTGTGGATGAGCCAGATAATCAGACAATTGTAAAGGTTGAGAGTTATACGGAGTCTGGTCAGCTAGCCTTAAGTTTGCCCACCTGTAACCGGGCACCGAGGCTCAAGCCTGTAATCCCAACTACTCAGGAGGCTGAGATCTGAGGATCCAGGTTCAAATGCAGCCCAGAGAAGAAAGTTTATGAGACTCTTCCACCTACCCCCAAAAAGCAAGACATGGAGTGGTGGCTCAGATTGGTAGCGTGTCATCCTTGAGCTGGGGGGGGGAAAAAGCCAAGCAAGAGCTCGAAGCCCTGAGTTCAAGTCCCAGTACTGCACATACAGAGAGAGAGAGAGAGAATTCAGCAGCTGTCTGTGACAAGAAGGCTTTTTACTTTCTCACTGGCTGAGGAGACTCTTCATTCTTGCTAGTGCTGAGACAAGAGACCAAAATCCAGAGAAAGGGGGCAGGGGAAAGAGGGGGAGACATATAATAAGGCACCTTGTGTACTTATCCGTTTGGGCTCAGAGCAATGCTTGCTTAGCACATGGTAGGTGGGCACGTCCATTCTCTCCCAAACTCAATGAATGAGCGGAAGGTGGGGATGGAGAGGCTGGGGGACAGGGACAAACAAGTTGAATGATCCTGGTGTCTGGCTGCAACCCCTCACCCAGACTCCTTGCTCCGGGCTGCCACTCACTTTAGTTGCCCGGGCAACCTGGTCTCCTGGTAACTTCAAAGTGGTGCTGTTGCCTGGCAACCCAGGGGGCAGGGCAGAACTGTGATTTCCTGGGCTTTTTCTCTCTCTCTGGGGCCAGAAAACAGCTCCCAACATCCCCCAGTACACCCACTCACACAGCTGGGCACCCCTACACCCTTCTGTACACACACACACACACACACACACACACACACACACACACGGCATCGCTGTATGGATTCCATTTCCAGACTCCCATCACCCATGTGCTCACAGCTCGCTCTCCCCTACCTGACACATAAAGCAGCTCACACTCTGCTTGTCCTACATTCCCACCCTACATGCTTCCTTGTACAAACCCACATTGCCGAGTCCTCCTTCCCATCCTCCCTGCCCCTCCCTCCCTCCCATCCTCCCTGTGTCCCTCCCTCCCTCCTCTTTCTTTCTTTTTTTCTTTCTTTCTTTCTCCCTCTCTCCCTCTCTTTCTTTCTCTTTCTTTCTTCTTTCTCTCCCTCCCTCCCTCCCTCCCTTCCTTCCTTCCTTCTTTTCTTTTGGGGGTACTAGGAGTTGAACATGGGGCCTCCTCATGCTAGGCCATACTACATCACTTGAGCTAAACCCTCAGCCCTAAATTATTTCTATTTTGGCATTCTTTTGTTTATTTGCAGTATTTGGCATTTGAATTCAGGACCTCGTACTTGTTAAGCAGTCATTTTACTACTTTGATACATGTTCCCAGTCCTTCTTTCCTTCCTCCTTCCCTCCCTTTCTTTGTTCCTTCCTTCCTTCCTTCCTCCCTTCCTTTTTTTTGGGGGGGGGGGTTGGTCATGGGGCTTGAGCTGAAGGACCTAGTGCTGTCCTTGAGCTTCTTTTGCTCAAGGCTAGCACTCTACCACTTGAACCACAGTGCCACTTCTGGCTTTTTCTGTGTATGTGGTGCTGAGGAATCAAACCCAAGGCTTCAAGAATGCTAAGCAAGCACTCTACCATGAAGCCATATTTCCAGCCCTCTTTCCCTTTGTTCCTTCCTTCCTTCTTTCCTTCCTTCCTTCCTTTTTCTCTTTCTATCTTTTTCCTTTCTTCCTTTCTTCCCTTTTTTTTTTTTGTCAGTCGTGGGGCTTGAACGCTGGGCCTGAGCTCTATCCCTCAGCTCTTCAGCTCAAGGCGAGCACTCTGCCACTTGAGCCACAGTGCCATTTCCAGTTTTCTAGTGGTTTATTGGAGATAAGAGTCTCAAGGACTTTCCTGCCCAGGCTGGCTTAGAACCGTGGATCCTCAGATCTCAGCCTCCTGAGTAGCTAGGATTACAGGCGTGAGTCACCAGCACCCAGTCTTTCTTTCCTTTTTGTACGGGGGCTTGAACTCAGAACCTGAACACTATTCCTTAGTTGTTGTTTTTTTATTCGGGTCCGGTCGTGGAGCCTGAACTCTGGGCCTGGGCGCTGTCCCTCAGCTCTTCAGCTCAAGGCTAGCACTCTACCACTTGAGCCACAGCACCACTTCTGGCTTTTTTCTTTTTGCTTATGTGGTACTGAGGAATTGAACCCAGGGCCTCAGGCATGCAAGGCAAGCGCTCTACCACTGAGCCACCTTCCCAGCCCTCCTTAGTTTTTTTGAGGGGAGGCCGTGGGGCTTGAACTCTGGGCCTGGGCTCTGTCCCTCAGCTCTTCAGCTCAAGGCGAGCGCTCTACCACTTGAGCCACAGCACCACTTCCGGTATTCTGGTGGTTCATTGGAGATAAGAGTCTCCCCGGGCACTGGTGGCTCACGCCTGTAATCCTAGCTACTCAGGAGGCTGAGATCTGAGGATCGCGGTTCAAAGCCAGTCCGGGCAGGAGAGACTGTGAGACTCCTATCTCCAATAAACCACCAGAAAACCGGAAGTGGCGCTGTAGCTCAAGTGGTAGAGCGCTCGCCTTGAGCTGAAGAGCTGAGGGACAGCGCCCAGGCCCAGAGTTCAAGCCCCACGACCGACAAAAAAAAAAAAAGAGTCTCACAGACTTTCCAGGCGGGCTGGCTTTGAACCATGATCTTCAGATCTCAGCCTCCTGAGTAGCTAGGATACAGAGGTGAGCCACGGGCACCGGGCTATCACTTAGGTTCCCCCCCTTCAAATCTAGTGCTCCAACACTTGACCCACACCTCCACTTCAGGATGTTTTTATCTTTTTTCTGGTTCATTGAAGTTAAGTATTTCACAGATTATCTTGCCCTGGCTTTGAATCTTGATCCTCAGATTACAGCCTCCTGAATAGCTAGGATTGCAGGTGTGAGCCATTGATGCCTGGCAAGCCCAACAAATATTAAGTATCACTGTGTATCAGGGTTGTTCTCGACACTGAAGACCTAACAGTGAATACTGAACAAACAATAAAGTCTATTTTCTCTTTTGTTTTTTCTTTTTTTTTTGGGGGGGGGTGGAGTTGAGACAGGATTAGTTCCATAGCCCAATCTGGCTGTGAATTCGTAAAAATATATTAAATTAGCCAAGCGCCAATGGCTCACACCTGTCATCCGAGCTACGCAGGAGGCTCCTCCCTCTCTCCCTCCCTCTATTTCTCTCCCCCTCTCTTCCTCTCGTGGGTCTTGAACTCTGGTCCTGGGCACTGTCCCTCAGATCTTCAGCTCAAGGTGAGTGCTCTACCACTTGAGCCACAGCGCCACTTCCGGTTTTCTGATGGTTTATTGGAGATAAGAGTCTCACGGACTTTCCTGCCCAGGCTGGCTTTGAACCGTGATCCTCAGATCTAAGCCTCCTGAGTAGCTAGGATGTCAGGCGAGAGCCACCAGCACCCGGCCTAGTGTGTTCCCTACCTAGGATTATTCATCTCAGACTGAGAATGGAGGGGTTTTAGCAGGCCCCGCCCCAGTGGAACCAGCCCTCGGTTCCCCCTTCCTCTCCTTGTCAGCCGGTCAGTACCACGGACAGCGCCAGCCACGGTGTGCGCAGGCGCTGTCCTCAGTGCTGAGGCTGTGTCTTCCTGGGCCCGCAGAAGGAAGAGACAAGTTTAGGATGAACCATGAATCTCAAGTATGTGAATTCTGGAAACGGCCTTGGCCAACTAATGAAAAACTCCATGATCTGTTCGTCCTCGTGGTGTGTGTGTGTGTGTGTGTGTGTGTGTGTGTGTTTGCCAGTACTGGGTCTTAACTTTTCTACTCAACGCTGGTGCTCTACCACTTGATCCACAGCTCCATTTCCAACTTCATTGTTGGTTAATTGGCGATGAGTAACAGGGACTTTCCTGCGTGAGCTGGCTTTGAACTATGATCCTCAGATCTCAGCCTTCTGAGTAGCTAGGCTTACAGGTGTGAGCCACCATTAGTGGGCTCTGTCATTTTTCTTCAGCCAATAGGCAGTCCCTTCATCCCTCCCTCATTTTCTGTATCTCCCCCATTCACTTCAGCCACACAGACCTCCTTCCTAGAGCCGTGTTCCTACCACAGGACCTTTCCATGTGCTGTTCCCTTTGCCTGGAATAAATGGCTTTCTTTTCTACTCCTCCAAGGTGTCCATTCCTCTTGTCATTTCCTCAAGTGGCACTTCTACAATCTTCCTGTCTAAACTGTAAATCCTGTCTCTGTCTCTCAGTTCTCAAGCTTGAATTTTCTCCCAATCACATATCAATGTGAAGCACACACACAGATCCAAACCCTACCAAGGAACAGAGCATGTTCCCAGCATTTGGGAGCCTCCCAGAGTGACTCAAGTTATTCTTTCTGCTCTCATCCAGCTTGGAGGCTCCATCTTTGCTCTCCAGACTCCTAAACGGGTTGTGTCTAGTGGCTCATGTCTGTAATCCTAACTCCTCAGGATGCTAAGCTCTGAGGATCCTGGTTTGAAGCCAGCCTGAGCAGGAAGGTCTATGACACTCTTATCCCTAATTACCCACCAAAAAATCTGGAAGTGGAGCTGTGGCTGAAGTGGTAGGGCTCCAGCCTTGAGTGGTAAAGCTCCAGTTCAGACCGCAGTACCAGCATGAAAGAAAAAAAAAGGGCTGGGAATGTGGCTTAGTGGTAGAGTGTTTGCCTAGCATGCATGAAACCCCAGGTTCGATTCCTCAGTTCTACATAAATAGAAAAAGCCAGAAGTGGTGCTGTGGCTCAAGTGGTAGAGTGCCAGCCTTAAGCAAAAGAAGCTCAGAGACAGTGCTCAGGCCCTGAGTTCAGCCCTGGGACTAGCAAAAGAGAAAAAAAAAGACAAAGAAAGGAAAGCAAGCAAGTAAGTGCAGAGAGATTAACTTTCTAGAGGCCACACAATCAAAAAATTGTCAGGATTTTTGTCAGCTGTGGGGCTTGAACTCTGGGCCTGGGCACTGTCCCTCAGCTCTTCAGCTCAAGTCTAGCGCTCTACCACTTGAGCCACAGCACCACTTCCAGATTTTTATGTGGTGCTGATGAATTGAACTCAGGGCCTCATGCATGCCAGACAAGCACTCTACCACTGAGCCACCTTCTAGCCCAGAATTTTTTTTTTCTTGAGAGGGAAAGTGAGTGCCAGGGTAGGGCTGTAGCCAACCCTCAGTCCTCTGGTTTTATTTTTCAGATAAGGTCTTTAATTTTTCCCAAGGCAGCCTTGCATCTCTATTCTCCTACCTCCACCTTCTGAGTAGCTGGGACTACAAGCCTGCATAATCATGCCTGGCTCTGAGCTAGGTGTGTTTTCTTTTTCTTTTTTTTTGGGTCCGGTTGTGGAGCCTGAACTCTGGGCCTGGGCGCTGTCCCTCAGCTCTTCAGCTCAAGGCTAGCGCTCTACCACTTGAGCCAAAGCGCCACTTCCGGCTTTTTTTGTTTTGCTTATGTGGTGCTGAGGAATGGAACCCAGGGCCTCTGGCATGCAAGGCAAGCGCTCTACCACTGAGCCAACTTCCCAGCCCGGTGTGTTTTCTTGAGTGCTGATTCCTGGGGCTTGAACTCTGGACCTGGGTGTAATTCCTGAGCTTCTGTGCTTGAGGCTGGCGCTCTATCACTTGAGCCACAGCTCCACTTCTGGCTTTTTTAGGAGTTATCTGGAGATAAGAGTCTCACCGGCTTTATTATCCAGGCTGGCTTTGAACCATGATAGTCATATTTCAGCCTCCCAAGTATCTAGGATGATAAGTGTGAGCCCAGCTAGACCAGCCTTTGGCCCTGTGTGACTGGCCCCATGGTCCCACAATGCGTCTCCATGTCTGTCCTCAGATCCACTGTCGCAGTACACCCACCCAGCTTCACACCCGTGTACACCCAGAATTTCAGTCCTCTTCAGCCCACCACCCGGGGGAGGCAGGCAAGTGGCCAAACTTCTGTTACAAACAGATTTTTATTAAATACGAGGAGCCGGGTCTTTATTAAAGATGAGGAGGAGGCAGGAAAAGAGGGCCGGTGTCTCCTCTGCCCACTGCCTTGGGGTGCTCAGGGTAAGGGAGCCCTTCTGTTCCACCCATGACCCCTCCCCCCCAGATGGCATTTCTTCATGAGGCTGGGGCTTGGGTGAGCACAGTGTGAACACAGAGGCAGGCTCCAAGAAAAAAAAAAAAGTCATTTCCCACAGCCCTAATAAATAACAGAAGGATTTCGGGGTGCCCTGGGTATAGGCCAAGGGAGACACAGATCTCAGCTCCCCAAAGCCTCTGAACTGGGGCAAGCTCCGCTTTTAGGGAGGGGGTGGTGAGATGGGGTACAATGCGGGAGGGGCTGAGAAGGGAAAGGGGTACCCTAAGGCCCTGCCATGGGGGAGCCTGCCCCCAGCCCTCCACTGGACTCGGTGAATGTGAGGAGAGGGGACCTGGTGACAAAGAGTGGACCCCACTCCCCAATCTCCCTCCTGTCCTTTGCACGTGCTTAGACAAGGGCGGTCCCCCATTGACTGGCATCATACCCACCCACTCCGGAAATTCTGAAGGCCAACGGCTCCTATTGGCTCACTCGTTGGCTGGGCTTGGCCGCTTGCCTGGGAGCACGCTCCCATTGGCTGGAGTAAGCTCAACTGGCTTAGAATTTTGAGACCCCAGAGCTCTCATTGGCTGAGCCGTGGGAGCTCTCATTGGCTGAGCCGTGGGAGCTCTCATTGGCTGAGCCGTGGGCCAATGGGGAAATCAAGCTTTCAGCCTTTCGGAGGCCAATACTTGGGGCAAGGGTCTATCCTGGAGCTCTGGCTTCCTGGATATCCCAAGGGGTAAGAGAGATAGGCAGCCTCCCCCAAATGTCCTTCCAGCCATCCTCTGGATGCCTGAACCAGGCTGGGGCTTTTCTTTTTTGGGGGGAAGGAGGAGGTGGAGGGGCCTTTGGCACTCACATGGCACACGCACACACACGCGTGACAGGGGAGGAAAATGGGGACACCAGGTAGACGTGGGTGGGTGGGTGTAGGTCTCACAGCAGGTGGTCGCGGCTGGCAAAAAGGTAAGGGCTGAAGTTGTCCCGGTGGAAGGGGGAGGGATAGAGTCCACTGAGGGTGTACAGGTCCCGCAACAGGGGCGTAGGCAGCAGCAGCTTCCGGCCACGCCCGCCACCCCCGCCTGGTCCTCCAGGCCCGGGGGAGGAGGGTGAGGGGCCTTGGCTGGGAGTCGGTGCTGGCAGGGGTAAGGGCAGTGGCAGGGGCGTTGGCTCAGACCTCAATCGAGGGCGGGGCACCCGGGGAGAAGAACACATGGCCGGGGCCCTGGAGGACACGCAGCTGGGGATCAGGTGGCCACGGAGGGCACAGTTCTGCGACTCTGAAGTTGAGAGTCAGAGAGCAAAGGATTAGAAATCTGGGGTGGGGGGAAGGGTTAAGGAAGGCTGCAAAGTCCCCCCCATGTTTAGCCTCCCACTTGCCCGACACTCACTGGATGGGGTGAGCCGTGCCGGTGTCGAATGCGGCCTGCAGGCCTCGGGTTCCTAAGATAAAGCAGCAGAGGGAAGAGGCTAGAGGACCCCAGAGGACCCCTCGACAGGAGGGGGGGCTCATCACACAGAGAGCAAGACAACCAGCAATGGCCTTCCAGTCTGCTTTCATTTCCTGCCTCCACCCCCCCCACCCTCTCCAGCCGGGAGCAGCCCCCAGCCCCCCTTACCTGAGCCACACTTAACTTTTCGAGGGGGCTGTCCGTGGTAGGGGCCTGGCTCAGGTCTTCCCAGGTGGAGAGCCTTCGGCCAGAGGGTGGCCGACTCTGGAAATTGTGCACAACACAGATGACCTGGAATAGAGAGAAAATATGTAAAGGCGGGATTCCACCTGTTTTCATTAGCTCTGTGTGTGTGTGTGTGTGTGTGTGTGTGTGTGTGTGTGTGTGTTTTGGAACTGAGGTTCCAACTCAGGACCTGGGTGCTGTCCCCCTCAGCTTTGTTTCACTTCAAGGTTGTGGCACTCTACCACTTGAGCCACAGCTCCACTTCTGGTGAGTTGGAGGGAAGAGTCTCATGGACTTGTCTGCTTGGGCTGGCTTCCAACTGGTGATCCTCAGATCTCTGCTTCCTGAGTTACTGGGATGACAAGCGTGAGCCACAGATGCTCAGCTCATTTTTTTTTGTTTTTTGTTTTTGTTTTGTCAGTCATGGGGCTTGAACCCTGGGCTTGAGCGCTGTCCCTGAGCTCTTCAGCTCAAGGTGAGCACTCTACCACTTGAGCCACAGCGCCACTTCCGGTTTTCTGGTGGTTTATTGGAAATAAGTTTCACAGACTTTCCTGCCCGGGCTGGTTTTGAACCGCAATCCTCAGATCTCAGCTTCCTGAGTAGCCAGGATGACAGGCGTGAGCCACGGTGGGCAGCCTCAGCTAGTTTTTGATATCATGCTATTTAGTGCATTGATCATTCCGCATGCATGTACATGTTAAGTGCTGTGGTATCCTCTTCAGTTTTGCACTCAGGGAGTGTCTTACTAATGATCCTGTCCCAGAAGTCTTGTCTTTGGCTTTGGGGGCTACCGAGGGGGGGGGGAGAGGGACAGGGTCTTCCATGCAGAGATGGGGAGAAGGCTGGGAGTCTCACCAGAAAGGTAGCGATAGATGCTCCAGTCAGGAAACCAGCCAGCACGTCAGACCAGTGGTTGCGGTACTCGGCCACACGGACCACGCCCACCAGGAAGGCTGGACACAGCAGGGCCAGGCAGAGGGAGGGCTTCACCAGGCGAGAGCCCTTCACTCGGAACACTCGGGTCACGTACATCTGTGGGAGCCACATCGATCAGGGGACACGCGGGAGACGAAGTCGCCAAACCCAAGGAAGACGTTGCCTTCTGGCTTAAGGAGCCTGGTCGGGGCACCAGGACAGGAGGGCGTGGCCCTGGGGGTCTTACAGAGATGGGAGTGTGCAAAGGGAGGGCTGCAAGCTAAGGCGGCAGCGAGGGCCCCGAGGGTCCCCAATCTACCTACAGGCTTCGGGCCTGAGCTCCAAAGAGTAGAGGTCAGAATCTCAGGTTCCTGCATTCGTTAGTTTCCCAGGAAGGAAACCCAGACTAGAGTCTAGGGAATGGAGGTGCCAGAGTCAAAGCGCCAGATCCAGGGACTCTTAAGAGGTGGCATCTTGAACCCCAGGAGGTCCCAGACAGGCTTAGGGGCTTCATCACCCCTCGAGACCAGAAAAAGTAACCAAAGCAACCAAGGGAGGGACTAGGACTAAGAGCGGGATAGTTAGAAATCAGCAAATGAGTCAAGCTTTCCAAGGGGGTGGGAGAGGCGTGGGGAGGGCTGGGGAAGGGGGTGGGGGTGGAAGCCCACCCAGCAGGGTCTGGGAACTTCCTGGGAACTCCAAGGGGCAGAGCCCCATCTCCAAAGACAGCCATCCCCAACCCAAAGGATGCACACAACAGCCTCTCCGGGGCGGGGCGTTCCCAGGACAGGAGGTGTGGCCTGAAATGGGAGGAACCAATAGATTCCGCCTGGGGGCGTGGCCTCATGGACTCGTGATAGGAGGCGTGGCCTGGGGTGGGAGGAACCAATAGGCCCCGCTTGGAGGCGTGGCCATAATACGGGGGCGTGGCCTCATGGACACAGGGAGGAAGGTGAGACTCCAGGATGGTTGACCTCCAGCGCAGGGCCCCACAGCTTGCTCCCCGAAGGGCTCACCGCCGTGTAGGTGACGGCGTAGGCGCAGAGGGCCGCATCCTTGCAGGGGAAGGCGCGGCGGGCGGCGGCCACCAGGCTGGGGCTGCCCGCGCAGGCTCCCTGGTCTGTGACGAAGCGGTCAGGCCCTGGCCGGTCAGGAGAGGGTGGTAGGCAGCCCAAGGCCGTGTAGTTGGGGCGACACACAGACAGGAAGTGCGGTGTGGGGTTCCCGGTCACCACTTGCCCCGCGTTGGCGAAGATGGTGGTGGTGAAGAGGCCGAAAGAGTAGACCCCTGATTGTGCGGGAGGAAAAAGAAGGGGGTTCAGGCTCCAGGCCCTGATGTCCCAACTGAGAGCCCTGTTACACTTCTACAATTTCAGTGGACCTCTCCCCCCCCCCCCCAGTTTCTGCCAACGTGGGATCCCCAGCCTCAATAGAGTGAGGCTTTTTTGGTGGTTAATGGGAGATGAGCCTCACAGACTTTCCTGCCTGGTCTGGCTTTGAAAGGTGATCCTCAGAGCTCAGCCTCCTGAGGTAGGAGGACAGGCAGGAGCCACCGGCCCCAGGCTCCCTTTTTTTTCCCTTGACAGTCCTGGGTCTTGAACTCAGGGCCTGGGCGCTGTCCCTGGGCTTCTTTTGCTCAAAGTTAACACTCTACCACTTGAGCCACAAGGCCACTTCTGTTTTTTTCTGTGTATGTGGTACTGAGGAATCGAACCCAGGGCTTCATGCATGCTAGGCAAGCACTCCACCACTAAGCCACATTCCCAACCCTCCCTGCTTGGCATTCTCATACCTCTTTTTAGGCCACTCCGTCCCCAGGGACCCGGGGACCACTAATTATGATTGAGACCCCATGCATGCTGCCAGAAAATTCTCAAGATTCTCGCCTGAACTTAGGTCCTGGGTGTTGTCCTTGAGTCACTTGGTGCTCAAGGTTAGCACTCTACCACTTGAACCACAGCATCACTTCCTACCAATGTCTAGATACTTCATCCACAGCCATCACTGTTGGCCTCATCCATGTCTCTGGATCTTCCATTATGTCTGGCCTGAGCCCAGATCCCCACTTCTGTCTCTATCTCTCTCTTTTATTAGTCCTGTGACTTGAACTCAGGACCTGGACACACTGTCCCTGAGCTCTTTTGTTCAAGGCCAGTGCTCTACCATTTTGAGCCACAGCTCCACTTCTGGTTTTTGAGTAGTTAATTGGGGATAAGAGTCTCACAGGGACTTTTTCCTGCCCAGGCTGGCTTCACACCACAATCCTCAAATCTCAGCCTCCTGAGTAGCTAGGATGACAGGTGCCTGAGCCACCGGCACCTGGCGCTGGCCTCTATTTCTTTCCCATATCCCCATCCCTGTCACACCAAGGCTGTATCACTCACCCAGGAAGCGGACCAGCCTTCGCAGTGGAGGGCTGAATCGACAGCAGGCCCCAGACACGATGGTGCTTTCCCCGATGCTGGGGCTGGCTGAGGGTAGCACAGGAAAGAAGGCACGCGCCAACTCTCCCAGAAGGATCTGTGGGGCAAAACCAAAATGAAGTCATCCTAGGCCTTCAAGCCCCCAGTTCTACCAGCCTCCCCCTTCCCCCAACCTGGCCTTTCTGTCCTCCCCACAGTCCTACTGAGATGACCCACGTGATCTCACCGTGAGGGTGGGCCCAGCAGTGACCAGGGCATAGATGAGGGCAGGTGGTGCTCGGCTGGCGGCCTCAGGCCCTGGGTAGGGCTTGGTGTAGGTGCTGTCATAGCAGAAAAAGCCTTGGGTGTGCACAGGGAAGGTGTCTGTGAACTCGAGGCGGTAAGCAAGTAGAACCACAATGCCCAGTAGCACTGACTGCACCCAGCCAGGGTGGGGTAAGAGGCAGAGAAAAGAGGTCAGAGATTTGAGGCCCCCTAGACAGATAGACAGACAGACAGACAGACAGACAGACAGAGAGAGAGAGAGAGAGAGACAGACAGACACACACACACACACACACACACACACACACGGCGGAGAGGGACACAGAGTGGAAAAGGCTCAAATGGGAGATGGAGGCAGAGTGCGAAGGAGTTGATTTTTTTTGTTGTTTTTGGTGGGCCCTGGGGCTTGAATTCAGGGCCTGGGCCCTGTCTCTGAGTTCTTTTCTCAAGGCTGGTGTTCTGCCACTTTGAGTCACAGCTCCACTTCCAGTTTTCTGGTGGTTTATTGAAGATAAGAATCTCCTGGACTTTTCTGCCCAGGCTGAACTTCAATCCTCAGATCTCAGCATCCTGAGCAACTGGGATTACAGATGTGAGCCACCAGCGCCCAGCTGAGTTGATTCCTTTTAACTTTTTTTTTTTGTTGTTGTTGTTGGTCATGGGGCTTGAACTCTGGACCTGGGCGCTGCCCCTCAGCTTTTCAGCTCAAGATGAGCACTTTTACCACTTGAGTCACAGCGCCACTTCTGGTTTTCTGGTGGTTTTCACGGACTTTCTTGCCTTGGCTGGCTTTGAACCATGACCCTCAGATCTCAGCATCCTGAGAAGCTAGGATGACAGGTGTGAGCCACCAGGCCAGGTGATTGCTTTTAACTTTGTAATGGCGTAGACTGTGTGTGTGTGTGTGTGTGTGTGTGTGTGTGTGTGTGTGTGTGTGTGTACTGGCATCACACTCAATTGGCTTTATTTTGCTCAAGGTCTACTACTTGAGACACATGTCCACTCGGCTTTTTGCTGTTTTCTTGGAAATAAGAGCCTCATGGACTTTTGTTCCGCCAGCTGGCTTTGAACTTGGATCCTCAGATCTCAGTTTCCTAAGTAGCTAGGAACACAGGCGTGAGCCAACACACCTGGTTGCTTTTGATGCTTTGCTGGATGGTTTTTGATACAAGGTCTTCATATGTAGCCTAGGCTAGTTTTGAACTTCCTCCGGCCTCATTTTCTCCAGTATTGGGATTAGCAGGCATGCGCCACCCTGCCCAGTTAACCATACCCATTTCATGGATGAGGAAACAGAGGCTGGGGCCTAGAGACCCTCATTTGGATAGATGGGGAACAGTGGAATTGAGAGGAATAGTGCTGAACCCGTTTATGACCATTTTGTTATTTTTGTTTCAGGAGGAGGGGAAAGTGATGGGGGTTTGGGTGGTGACGGGGTGGGCAACCAGGGAGGAGGAGAAGCAGGCAGGACTGGGAACCATGATATAGGAAAAGGGCAACAAAGGTGGGAGACTGAAGTTGGACAGAGACAGAGAAAAAGGGAACCCTCCCCCCTCTCCCCTCCCCCCTCCTCCCTCCCCCTCCCCCCTCCCTGGGTCTGTTTCTGGTTCTCACCTCCACAAAGACGAAGCAGGGGATGATGGAGAAACTCCTTTTCAGGTGAGGTCTCCCTCCCGCCATGGTGAAGGCTGGGCCTACAGAGTAGGGCAGACCCTTGACCCCCTGTGCCCCATTCTTGAGCAAGGATAAAGCCAAGGAGCTATGGCCCCGCCCACTGAGCCTTCTGGCCACACCTCCACAACCCAGTTGGTCCTGGGGCTGGAACTCTGGGCCTGGGCACTGTCCCTCAGCTCTTCAGCTCAAGGCCAGTGCTCTACCACTTAGGCCACAGCACCACTTCTGGTTTTCCAGTGGTTTATTGGAGATGAGAGTCTCACAGACTTTCCTGCACAGGATGGCTTTGAACCATGATCCTCAGATCTCAGCCTCCTGAGTAGCTAGGATGACAGGTGTGAGCCACGGGCGCCTGGCTAAGAATTCTATTTTCTGTCTGTTGGGGACCCCAGGCTCTCTGCCCCCCCATGCCTGTCAGATCCCTTTCCTGAGCCCCTCCCCCAGCACCCCCATGGGAGCCCCTCTTCTGTCCTCGTGGTGCATTGGTGTGGGCTGATAGCCAGATCCTCCTTCTCTCCCAGCTGCTCCTGTCCTCCTCCTCCTCCTCCCAGCCCAGCTGCCTCCCTCAGTCCCCCCTCCCATCTAACCTCAGTCCCAGCATTTTGGGGGCCAATGGAAGCGGCTCAAACCCACTGTCCCACCTGGTCTCACCTGTGAAGGCGCCCTATGGCCTCCTCCAGGACACCCCCTCGATCAGAGACTCACAGCTGCTCCTACTGGGCAGCAGAGCGAGGGTGATCACCCCCATTGCGCAGATGTGGAAAATGAGGCCCAGGCAGGCAAAGGTCGACACTGTGGGTCCAATACTCCATCCACAAGGCCTGCTCTATAGGGTGACATGTGAGGAGAGGGTCACCCAAATAACCCCACACCAGCACCCTCACAGCACATAAAGAAGCCACAGCCTCCACCCCA